CCTGAATATAAAATTCATTGCCAATTCTAGGCTGAGGGGTTTTCATTTCGAGTACTGTCTAATAACAATATTTTATTTGGGAATGCAGAAGAATCCAAGAAGTGACTATGCAGGCTCACTTAAGGAGCCAATGTTGGCCACAGTTCTATAATAGTCTGTAATTACTGTGTGCTGAATTTGATGATAAAATGCCAAAATAAAAGAAATGTATATTAAAATGAGTTTACTATGTGTCCAGGTCAGCTAAATACATTCTCTTAGAGCTGTTTGTGAAATGAGTGCATTAGCCAACACCTTTGCAAATGATAAAAAGAATATGGTGATAATCCTTTCCCAAAACTACTTCGTTGAAAGGAAACAAAGGAAAGAGTTTGTGTTCCATTTCCTCTTAGACTACTCATAAACCAGTACAAAAATATATTGTCTTAATTCTGGAAAATAGCTGGAAATTGCATTATTACAGGAAGGTTTATACATCCTGTTTATTGAAGTGTTCAGAATTTATGAAAAACTTGTGGGATATTTTAATGCAGAAAGAAGTCAGAATATTGCTAATACTAGAATTAAGCTTGGTGTTCTCGTGAATTGATAACTGAAGCATAATGCATAATGTATCAGGTTTGAAAATGTAATTTTAGTATTAGCTAACTGTAAGTACTCTGACATAGGAACATAGTTTGGAAAGGACTGTGTTGTGTAGTCAAATTTTCTCTGCTATGGGCACCCACTTCCTAGCATCCTTATTTATTCAGCTTTATTCTAAAAGTATAGTCTTTTAGCTGTGTCGCTTCTTCATAGTGGTAACTCAAAAACCTCATAGGTATCGTCCTGAGACTGAGGAACCTGGGAACTCTCTACAGATGCTCAACAAACTTGATAGTCTTGTTGTTTTTCCCTGTTCTTAGGGAAGCCATCAAGAGTACCAATTTCATTATGCACCTATGGCTTAAGGGAATTTGCTAGACATTTGCCAGACATATCAAAACCTTTTGAGTCTGGGTTGTTTTCAGTTTGTATACATATGTATATGTATACATGCATGTATATAAGTATTTACATAAATATGGTAAAATTCTGGCAAAAATCTGGAAGCTGTAGTTTCAGTCTTCTACCTCCTTGATTTATTGAACAACAGTCTGGAACTGGAACATAGTGATGAGAAGGAAGCTTTAGAAAAACTTAAATTTTGTTTAATAACCCCTGCAGCAGACAGAGGAAGGCTTGTTTTAGCATATTGATCTTTTGTCAGGTGGAGTAATCATACTGTATGACTGGTGCTGAGCAGGAACACTGATCTCACCTCAGTCCAATCCCTGTGACCACCTGTTTGCTTTTTATCCCCTTCTCTCTTTTCAGTAAAATAGCAGCCAGTGATGTGAGAATCATTCATTTCTTCTTAACAGAGACAGTTACTCCAGCTAAGAATGATCTTCCCCCAGCCTGAAGCCCATTTAGTGACCACAGAAGGCAAAGACACTTCTCTTCTGGCTGGCAGTAAGAGGCTCAGCAGTCTCAGTCAGGCAGCTGATGTATCACCAGGACCATAGACTGACTGATGTTCTCACTCAAGGAGCCTGGAACTTACTCATTTGATAAACGAACACTATCCCAAACCAGCCCTTCCTCCTTCTTGCTGCTGTGATTGTCAAACAGCTTTAAAGCTTTTCTTCGGCTCAAGAAGCTAAACAGAGTCATACTTCTTAGGGAAGAGTTCTACAAAGGGCTTTGCCCTGAGTGGAGGAGGGACAGGTTTCCTTTGATGTTTAGCAGCTGGCACTTTCCAGGTGGCTAAACTTCAAAGGCAAGTGTTAGCATCTTCCTCCAACCTGGCCCGTCAGTTCTTTGTAGATAGCTAGGCTCATTTAATGTTTGACTTTACTTGGAATGCTAAATTGGAAGCCATAAACTCCAGATGGCCTTTTAAATATGTACCATCCTTCTACCTGAAAGGGGTCCGGCTGCCTGCAGAGCATTGATGAGGCAGGTGGCACCTCCTTCTGGGCAGGAAGAATGTACTTTCAGCTCTGACCTCCCTTGATCCCAGTAAGTCACCTTACTCCAGTTTCTCCTTAATCTCTCCACCTGTGAAGCATGCATGTTGGTATTTCCCTGTCTGACAGGACTGCTGTGAGGCTGCATTTTCTGGAATGCAAAACCAAGTTTGAGATCATCAATCAATGTACAAACCCAGGTTATCACCAATTATAAAAAACCTGCCTCCCTCAGGGACATTGACAAGACCTAGTAGCTGCAGCTGCTAGTTAAGAGTTGGTGAGCTGGTTTGCTACAGGATCTTAGAGCAAGTAAGGAGCTGAATGCTGCTCATCTGAATTTTTTGAACCCTGATCCAGCAAAGCTGTCAAATGTCAATGGCAACGTCTCTATTACCTTTGCTGGCAATGCAGATGGGATGGATTTTCCTATAGCAAGTTTCTGTTTCCCTGATACTGTAGTTTTTCTGACTGGTGAACCACCTGACACTTTCAGGCCCGACACTGAGTGTGATATTGCTCGTGTCCGAGTTTGAGGGTGTGCCTGGGGTTTACATGATGGTTTGTCTAATCAAACTCTCAGGGATTCTCCTGGCATGCAAAGGGACCTCTTGTTTGATAGAGTCCACAGTCTCAGTCGCTTTAAGAGGTAGAAAATAAGTTTGACTCACCAACATTTGGATCTCATGGAACTCTTTCCTTCTTGCTTTTTTTTTCTTTTAATTAAAATTAGAATCAATACAGAGTTTCAGTTGCAGATCTTATCATCCTGATATTAACATAAACATAACATAAACATAAACATTCCTTCTTTATTCTAGCCAAAATGCAGTGCTTAGGATTACCATGCAGTCTAATTGCTCATGGAGTGCACAGTTTCTCTTCTGCTACGTATTGTCTCTCTCCATAATGTTCATTCCTTTTCTGAGGCCATCCGTAAATGTTAAGTTGTAATTAATATAAACATTTGGGAATACAGAATGACATTTGCTGTTACAAAAGTGAAAGCAAGTTTTCCAGGCACTTGCTGCACTTTCTGCTATAATCTAATGATGAAGCTCATGATACAACATTCTTAAAACACAATACACTCACAACATTTGTAAGATATTTGTCTCTAAGCAAATAACATTCATAAGTTGTCTTTTGAAACGAGATACACAGGAAACTAGAATACAATGGTAGTAAACTCATTAATCTTAAAGCTGAGTCAAAAATAATCTTGGAAATTTCCTAAATTTAGAGCACTTGACTGAATTAATTCTATCTTTTAAAATGTAATCGTAATAATAAATCACTGAGTCTTAGTCAGGTTTATTCTGCCTCCAAAAAGTGATGTAAGAAATGTCTCTCTCTCCTCCCATCAGTATCCTGTGTGCTGTTGTCTACATTCTCTGTTTATATATGAAAGACTGTGCAATTTACTCGGGGATACATAGTAGCCTTTGCAGAATTAAAACTAAAGACAGTTACACAACCTGTTAAGTACGTCAGAGATGAGGTAGGCTGGATAATTAGTTAGCTATTATTAGACAACAAATTTTTCTATCTTTCACTGATTTAATAAAAAGTAAAACTTCTTAAGAATTTGTACAAGTAATAATGTGATATGAAAGCAATAATGTGATATAAGAGATGCTTGAGATAAAAGCGTGTTTGTAATAGAAACAGAATATTTATAGAAGTGATTAAAAATCAATCCTGACCATAATATTATTGGATACATCTTCCATTATAACCTATTATGTTTGAAAAACACATGCATATGTATATTAATAATTTGGCTTAAAGTGATTTTGAAATGTATTCATCTTTAAATGCACTTTTCCTATTTGAATTCTCTTTCCAGCTGAGGTTTACCCCAAAATGTATCACACATGCTTTTTTCTGGTGACATACATGGCACCACTGTGTCTTATGGTGTTGGCCTATTTGCAAATATTTCGAAAGCTGTGGTGTCGCCAGGTAAGTCACTTAACACTAGCTCTTTTTGCTTGCCGTTTTGACTATGTGCAGATTCCTATGTACAACCGTCTTCTCTATATGCTCCATGTTGTCGATTATGACTTGGATTTTTACATCCAGCACCATTCCCAGGTTCAGTGACACTGCTGGCTTACAACCACAGGCACTGAGATGTATTAAAAAATGAAGGCAGTCAGGCTAAATGTGAAGCCCTTCTTGCTCATGTCTGTGAAGGGCTTAGAGGCAAAGAAAGAGAGAAAAAGGCAACAGAAAGATTGATTATAGGCAGAAGAAAGATCTCTCCCATTCTACCTGAAATGCTTAGCAAAATGCCTTAGGTGACCTCATTTATACAGCTAAAATCTCCTGTAGCAGTCAAAAGTTAGGATTGACATTTTGTTAGTAGCCTGTACTATTTTTTGTTTTTATTTTTCATTCTACAAAGTTTCTGGTTCATAGCAGATCCAATCTGAATAAAAGTTAGAGTAGAAAGTCCAGCTATCAAAACTGTGAGACTGGAATTGCCTGATGTGAAGCAGGCTGTTATCAGTAACATGTGAAGTGAATTACTGACAAATAATTAACATGATTTCTAATGTGAATATCTATTTTTTCAAGCTTCAAATTAAAAGGAAAGAAAACAGACATACTAAACAAAAAACCCCAAGCAAGCAAGCACACAAAGGACATTTCAACTGAAGTGGCAAAAATTATGTGAATTTTT